TTAAAGGGTCTTCTCTGTGGTTACTTGATTTTATAAACTCAACGGATAAAACCTCTTTTGTTAGTTGGTCTCTCTCACCGATGCAGCTCCATGCACAGATTGTTTTGAAACTATAAATTCCTTCAACCACATTATCATTTTAAACTGAACCAAGGAATCACAGAGGTGCACATTTTCTTGCCCATTTTATGAGGAAAAAACATACCTTTGAACTCGATAACCAACCAAAGGGCCGCTTTGGATTTGTGCAGGCCATCACGTGAATGTATTTCCTTAGTCATTTGGTTTAAAATAAAAAGGCATAACAGTTTGTATAAGCCGTTCATAAAAGTGTTGATGCACACACGCGCGAGTCCACCTGGTCTCGATTTCCTCGATCGTTCAAGCAGTCTGCGTTAGGTCCATTCGTGATTTAATGCCTGTTGCCAAAATAAAGGAATGTTCATGTCTTCCCGCATGGCTGAAGACCTTTATTAAACTCTCCACCTGGCGGATATTTGCGTGTGTACAGACTCTTGCAAAACATGCAGTAATAGGCAACTTCTGAGTTCCAAAAGCCCTCACTTTCAAAATGAGGCCAAGTGCATCACTTTTCTTATGAAAATGAGTTTTATTGGCATAAATCATTTCCATATCAAAGGCTGAGCACTTAACCTCGGTTTTATACAGAGGCCCAGTAACTCAGAAATTAAATGGCCTATTGCGAACTACAAACCTTGAATTACCTTTATTAAAACGCCTACACAATTTCCTATTACATTATGCAATATACGTAGCTAAGAAATATTGTATAGTAATGAACAAGTTTCAAAGTGTCGAAGCTTTAACTCTTAGGCTCAGTGGGGTTGCAAGATTCCATTTTGTTCTTTGCTTTTTTCCATTCTAATTTTTCTCAGACAGGAACTGAGCCTGAAAGCTGAAGCAAAAGACACTGCAAATTCCAACTATAAAATGGAAACAAAATTTATCGTAGTGCTGGCTGTACATCCCAACCGGCTCTGAGGCTGACCGGTTGACTATTTACATACCGTATTTGTTCGAATAAGCGCCCAACCTCGAATTAGCGCCCGCCTCGAATGAGCGCCCATCCTAAAGGCAGAAAAAGTTATTAAGTGCCCAACCTCGAGCGAGGAGAAACGGATGTTTTCGCAGGCTAAATAAGCACCCACGACCTAACATCCATCCAGCAAGCTGTATCTGCTTCTCGGGCACCTAACCCATTTGCCGGCTTTACGATAGCGGACATCCAGGAGGCAGCACCAGAGAACTCACTTACTGACTTCCCTAAAGACGGAGTTTTCTTCAGAGCAGTTTACAGAAACCTTGCTTTGATGTTGTTTTGTTGCAAAATAAACGTTACTAGAGTTGCTGAAAATGGTGAAAATTCAATAAACGCTCACTCTCAAGGTCCAAAAATTTAACAAGCTCTCAGGGCGGTTAATCGAACAAATACGGTACATCTTTTTTATATTTGGGTCAAGACGACGAGATTGAATGGGGACCCTCCATGTAAGAACGCCTAATTTTGAGCTGAGACTGAGCCAAGACTGAACTTGCTATTTTTGAGGCGATTTGAGCCTCAAAACGTTCTTAGATGTTTTTAAATTACAGTTTGAAAACATTGTATGGACGACTTTTAATTTCCTCGTGTTTTGAGAGGCTAATAGTTACCTCAGGAGAGGCAACAGTGCACACAATGTTCAGCCAAACACGTACAGCAGTCTTTACAGCAATTTTTCTATATTCCTTACGTTGAAATTGGTGGAATCGACAATGTTTTAGACTGAATTTCAGCCTTGGCTTTGCTCTGCTCTTAGGATATTCTTCAAAAGGTTTCTGTAAAACAGGAGTAAGCGTGGCTTAGCACCAGGACGCCGAGGACTGATCAGGAATGTAATTAGTTTAGCCATGAATTAACACAGGATCAGTTCATGAGCTTTCGCCCTGCTCTTTACTACTAATTTCTATATCAAGCGCACAAATTTCCCTCACTTTTTAGTTGGCAGAAGTACCTAGGATTCTTCTCCTAAAAAAGCGAGCTGCATAATAAAAGGCCAGTGGAATAAAGCATGCTGTACAGTCTCTAACGTCCTGTAAATCTATCCACGCTGCCTCGTTATGCCTTGAGACTTAAGGTTCCCAACACTAGAAGTGATTTACAATTAAGCTGTTTACGGTTACTTTTTCTATCCCTGGTTTTCTCTTGTTCGAACACCGTGTTCTCACGTCAACTTAAATATGACCTGAATTTTCATATTTCAGTCAAACGCGATGTGACATTAGAAATGCCGACTAACGAAATTTACTTTTCTGGTAAAACCATCGGATAACAAAAGAGAATTAAACTAATGAGTGTTATCAGTCAACTAACATGCCGTAAAGTTGGAAAAGTATTTTTCTAGAAAGCTGAGAAAACAGCCGATGTTTCGCTGGGCCATTGATGATTTCCCCGCGTATTTTATGGTGTTCAAGAACCTTGCTTAACCTTACTTAACCCGTTAAGCCCCAATATCCACATGCAAATTCTCCAAACTGATCTCTATATATTTCCTTAAAGAATGAGTTAAGAGAATTTGACAAAAGATCAAAGCATTTTCTGTTAGGTGATTATTTTATTAATTCTCATAACCTAGTCTCTTGACAATGTAGGGATATCACTGGGAGAAAATTGATGTTGGTCACTATTGGGACTTAAAGGGTTCAGGTAAGTGGTTGTTTGCCTCTAGGAAAATCAAAATAAACCCAGTGGCGGATCCAGAGAGAGGGGACTTAATGACTTAAAATTAACGAAATCTGGACAAAAGTCTTTTATCACTTAACTCAAGAGACGAATGCGTCAAAGCTGGGCACTGTACGATTAGAATATATCACGTATCATGACACCAAGGTTCTTCGCAGTAGAAAGAAATGTGTAACTGTTTGGAATGATGTACTAACGAAGTAAGTTATTGGCTTCACCAGTGTACACAAGTTGGATCCGCGTTAGTAAAATTTTCTGGATCCGCCCCTGAGATCAATCATAGAGTGGTGAGTGCATTCTTTCCCACTTTGCACCCGTTGCGCGCGTTCAGAAAAAATTGTAAGTTTTTGATGTGTTCCTTCTTAGAGCTTTTTGAGTTCTTTGTGCCCGCCGTGATAACATAACAGATACAAGAGAGAACTGAATGAAAAATGCTGACATTTTAAAATCCCTTATATATTTGCGATTGACATAACTCAGGGGCACTTAACGACTGTTTTATGTAAAATATCTGTTCGGAGAAGCAAGTATTGACAAGAAGTTTCTATTTCTTGATGACGGCTGAAAAATTCTAGATGACCCTTCGATTCATGTACAATTTTCGAAGCTTATCTCATTAATTCCCTACGATTTCCTGAAGTTCAAGTTTCACATTTTACTTCCCAAGTTAGGCTATTTTTCGTAGAAAAAAGGAAACCTAAAATTTTCGGATTAAAAAATGTGATGGAAAGAGCAATTAGCAAATGTCTCACTTTCGTAATACGTCAAATTTTATCTAAAATTTTCGGGAAAATAATACTCAAGCCCTATCGTGTAATTTCGAAAAGACTCAAGTTTCCCTAGGATGACCGAACAGATACAAATTTTACAGCGCCACTTAAAATGCTTCTAAAGGGTACTCTGGATAGCCTAAAAGTGTTTTTAATGTACTTAGGAGGAAACCGTCGTTGGGTGCCCCTGATAACCGTTTACTGAAAGGCGGACCATTACCAAGGTGTATGAAAGATACTGGAATGTTCGATACGATATCAATAGTGTCATTCTCAAGTATCGACACTTTTCAGGCAAATCTGGTTTGGTATCGGTACATCTTTCAAAATTATGTTTATCTTTTATTTTGTATAGTTAGCGAATCAGAGTGCTAATAGAAAAACAACCATCTCTCTCATTGCTTCAATGAGGTTTTTCTATCACCGTTATCTGATATTAGTAAGCTGCAGCTGTGTTTCTCTTGGCGTGTTATCTATGCTAGTGCTACGGTCAGTGCTACGATTAATGTTACCTGTCTTACCTACCCACAGAGACTCTAAAGTGAAAGAAGAAGGCTTGGTCCCCAGCGTAGCGCACGGATAAGGTCGCGAGGGATGATGGGAAGTAAAGAAGAGGGAAAACTGGATCGAAGGATGCGGAGGAGCTCAAATTGCGTTACATTAAGGTGACTCGACCCAGTTTTTAGGGGGGGTACCATCCTACGTTGAAGCTCTCTGGTATCTCCACCTTTACTTTTATCGTAAGTCTAACACATAGAGTGGATAACATATAGATCAATCTACAATATAACATAAAATGTTTGGCGATCGGATTAAATGTCACGTGGTTATAATGCCAAGCCCATTTGAGGTCTGATTCGAAAATCTGCTGTTGCCGGCATTTTTTCCTGAAAATCTCTCGGCTACACATAGTGCGCATTAGTGCCTTGCGTTGAACAGAGTTTCACCAAAATCCATTCTCGTCCACAGAGCCACTCGTTTCCCTACCACGTGACCAAGAAACGACGGGCTCTGTGGACGAGAATGCACCAAAATCGCAAAGTAAAGTGTAAAGTTTGCTTATCATTTTCGCATAAATTATGACCTAAATTTGGAAACCGCTGAATTTCTCGAATTGGGTCTTTGCGATTTTGGTGAAACTGTTCAGCGGAAGGCACTAATGCGCACTATGTGTAGCCGAGAGTTTTTCACGAAAAAATGCTGGCAACAGCAGATTTTCGACTCAGACCTCAAAGGGGCGTGGCATTATAACCACGTGACATTTACTCCGATCGCCAAACATTTTATGTTATATTGTAGATTGATCTATATGTTATCCATTCTATGTGTTATACTTACGATAGAAGTAAAGGTGGGGATACCAGAGAGCTTCAAAGTAGGATGGTACCCCCTAAAAAAAACTGGGTCGAGTCACCTTAAACTCATATCGTTATAATCAAACAAACAACAACAATGAAAAGCTCAAGGTCAAAAGCTCAGGATACAGTTCT